GAGAAAATGTTTTGAGAAATGATGTACAAATGCGCTTTACACAATTGATGTGTGTATGGATTGGGATAACAGTTATATGAGCCCCTAATAAAATGTTAAAAAAATAAATAACAAATAAATAAAATAAATAAAAGTCTGACCTTATACAATGAACTCCAAATGCACTGTGAGTCAACATTTTCATCCATTCAGGAAGTTGACAGACATCCAGAACGAGGTTTATCATCAATCTACATTTCACCTTTTTTGCAATGAGAAAACCATGTGTACACTTGAGTTTTTCCCATAGTGCTATACTTGTAAACTGTGTTCAACATCACAACAGTCTCTGCAGCATTTTTCCTGAGCAGGAAACAAAATTTCACAGCCACACGTTATTCTCTTAAATCAGTCATCACAAAAAATTAGGTTCAAGCAAAGCTGCTTTTACGAAAAAATTCAGTGGCCAGAGAGGACATTCCCAGGTGACACCACTGGGTGCACTAACTCACAGTGAGTTGCTCAATGGTCACCTAGCAGAAAACAAATGCATACTATGAAAGCTCTGATCGCCCAGCACTATGTTGTTTTAGGGGGTTACCCACCTCGTATGAGTGTCTCTGAATTTGTTTCTCTAGTTAACCTGGCCTAACACAATAAGGATTTGGGACATTGGGTAGGGGGGCAGTGATATCACCAGGATGTACGTTAGGGATGTAGGCTGCACTGGGTGACACTGTGAGAGGGGGTAACCCTGAAAAGTCTATAAAATTGTGGCTCAGCAAAAAATTATTATTTCCCCCCAACTCCTTTTAATATACTTAAAGCATTGAATTGTCTGTGTAGATTCTATGTCAATAAAACTTAAAATTTTTAAACACAAAAAAGAATTCAAATTCTAAAAATAAGTAAATAAACAGGCAAAAAATCAATATTGTTTTACAAAACTATTCCTGTAGTTAGTAATAACAACAGACACATTTTTCATAAGCCCAGCTTATTGTTGCTACTGTTATTAGGTACAGATGAGTCAGTTCTGACTCACAGCGGCCCGATGTACAATAGAACAAAACACTGCCCACTCCTGCTCGATCCTTGTAGTTATTCCTATGTTTGAGCCCACTGTCGCACGCTGTGTCAATCCATCTTGTTGCAGGCCTTGCTCCTTTTTGCTGCCCCTCTACCAGCTTACAGCGACCAAGCTAAAACTCTGGGCTAATGTACTTTTGGAACATCTAAAGTGCTCCGGTCAGAGCTGGCACGGTTGTCCAACTCCCAGGCTGTTTTGAATCACCTGAGTCACCATGGTTTTATCTGTGTGTCACAAGCACCAGCGTTGTTTTCCTTGCTGTTTGTCCCTCAGCACATCCATCACCACTGGTTTTGTCAAATGTTCTGATGTGGCATTGTAAGATTGTGGTGATTGGTATTTGTGAACGTATATTTTTTGAAAAGGAAGTAGTAATTAATGAGAAGTCCAAAAAGGCTTCTGCCTGGTTTCTCATCCTGTAATGAATAAAGTTGTCATTCAGTATTGAAAGATTTTACAAAACACTTCTGTTATTAATGCTCACATAACTTTAAAAACAGTCCACATAAGCGATCCAGAACTCTCTTGATCACCTTCGTATGCCGGGATTAGGATTGGGAAGGGGCATTACTGAGGCGTCCACAGAGTCTAATACAAAAAGCCACCGTGAGTGGGGAGGGGAAAGAAGTGACACCACGAGTCACCACAGTGGACGATCCCCACCCTAATGAGGCCACTGGTGGGGATAGCCTCAAAGAAGACCCTCAAGGACTCTCTGCTACCCAATTCAGCCAATGTCAGTTGCCCTGGGCTTCCTCAGGATTGCCGCATAAAGACTGACAGGAGGAAAGAAACACAAAGTACTGGTCTCAGGATCCTCACGCACAAAGCTTGGGCAATTAACCCCTGGCGGGACTCTCAGATCTTCCAGCGGGGCTGGGCAAAGGTGGTGGGGATGGGCTGCAGATGAATAGCTCTCCATCCACAGTACCCACCTCTGCTCTTGGAATTCCTCAGAGATGGGTGCTGGTGCTGGAAGCTCAGCTGATACCCTCAGTCCGTTTGCCAGGAGGGCTGAAGCAGGGGTGTTCTTTCTGTCCTCCCCAGGCTGACCTCTTAGGAAGGACTAGCACCCCCATGATCACCACGCTGCATTCCAGAGGAACCAGACAAACTCCTCCTGGGAACTGGTTTGTGCCTGATCCTGTTCCCCGAGCCCTCCAAGGCCCCCCTGTCCTTCCAGGCAGCCTCACTCCCTCACCCTTCACCATTCAGCCCCCCAGGATCTCCTGAACCAGGAACCACCTGGCCAGCCAGGCGAGATTCCTAAGAGGTGAGAACACTGCTGGGGCTGAGAGCGCCCCGTTAACTCTTATGCGCAGTTTGGCCCCAGAGAGCGGACTCCCTTCACTCCTCAGGTTTGGAGAAGGTAGTGCAAGGAGAGGAGGAGATGGGGATGGGCTGGAAGGGGCAGGGCTCACTGCTCTCTCTCCCTGACCCCCCCCTTCCTCCCGCCCCCGAAGGACAGGCAATCAGGGTGGTGGCTAAAGACAGAGGGGTCTTGGTGAAAAAGAAAGGGCTGCAGATGCTGAGGCATCTGCGGAGGGGAGGAGGGGAGGAGGGGCAGCTGGGGAGTGGGCCTCCTCCTCGGGCCTCCTCCGGCATCCCATGGAGTTGAACTGCTGGTGAAGCGGTGGGTTCCTGCAATCTGGGGGTGCTGTCCTGCAACAGGACAGCTTCCACGTGAGTAAGTCACACTGCTGGACACCTGGACTCCTGCTCTCAGTTTTCGGGAACTTCTCACTGCCTTCCTTTGTCCCCAGCGAACAAAGGGGAGGCCCCTGCCCTGGAGTCTGGGCTCCTAAGCAATCAGAAGAGAGGGCTGGGGAGGCAAGGCTGCACCTTGGTGTAGCCCGTGAGCCTGCTTGGTAACTGCTTTGCTGTCACACGCCAGCCCACAGCAGCCTGCTCTCCCCCCTCCTCTGGGGCCACTGCTTAGTCATCCCTCCAGGGCTACGCTGGCGCGCTGGCCCTACGGGCAGGCGGGCCCTATGACTGTCCTTAGAACTCACGTGGAGCCGGGAATCACTGAATTCCAGCCTCCTACCTTCAAAGCTGGCCGGGGTGGTCTTTCCCTCTAGTGCAGGCAACCCTGAGCGTGTTTCTAAGAAAGGGCCCCCAGAACTGATTTTAAATGTGATCTGGAGACTAGGTGGCAACTGGAGTTTCACCCAAACGGACAAAATCTAGGGTAAGTCCCGTGTTAATCTCGAAGCAGCTCGTCCCCTAAGAGGCTCATCCATTGGTTCCTTACTAATAAAACCTGATGAGGAGCCCCGGAGCACTGAGGTAGGATCCCTGGTGGCATCGTGGTTAGACGTTTCCGCTCAGTGAGCAGTTCGAAACCACCCAGAGCTCTGCAGGAGAAACAGGGCTTTCTACTCCCGTAAACTTGAACTTGACAGCCTCGGAAACTCACGGAGCAGCTCCACCCTGCCCAATAGGGTCGCTCTGAATCAGTGGCATCGACTCAATGGTGGTGGGTTTGGTTGGGGTTTTAACTGGTGCACCCGGGAGAATTCAGGGTGCGAAAGGGCCTCGCTTTTCCCGCCTGAAGCTGGTGGCTGTAGGTGTTCTGACTCACAGCAAGCCTGGATGAGCTAAGGAGAGGCAGGCAGGGCGGGGTCGTTGGACACCGGCTGACCCTGGGGGACGTACCTGGGCCCAGAGGGAGTGTCTAAAGGGCGAGGCCCATTTCTTTTTCTTTTCCGCAGGAATTCAAGGGCCATTTGGCTGTTCTCTCTCCAGCCACCCGCCATGGGCTGGAGCCTGCTGCTGCCCCTGCTACTGCTGCCAGCGCTGCTCCGGGGCCAGACTGGGCCGCCCCCGGGGAGGGTCCCGCTCTTCGGGCTCACTCAGCAGGGCCCCTGGGCCGCCGGCGGGGGCGACCACGACCAAGCCACGGACTCGCCCTGCGCGGGGATCCCTGCCGGCGAGGCCACCTCGGTGACGCTGCGGAACCGCAGCCTGGAGCGCCTGCCGGCCTGCCTGCCCCGCGCGCTGCGCAGCCTCGACGGCAGCCACAACCTGCTGAGCGCGCTGAGCGGGCCCGAGCTGGGCGCGCTGCCGCGGCTGCAGCGGCTGGTGCTGCGCCACAACCGCATCGCCGAGCTGCGCTGGGGCCCCGGCGGGCCCGCGGGCCTGCGTGCGCTGGACCTCGGCTACAATCGCCTGGCCGCGCTGCCGCGCTGCCCCGCCGGCCCCGCGCCCAGCCAGCTCCGGGCGCTGCACCTCGCGGGGAACCCGCTGCGGAAGCTCCCGCCCGGCGCCTTCTCCTGCTTCCCGGCTCTCCACGCCCTCAACCTCTCGTCCACCGCGCTGGGCGACGGCAACCAGGAGGCCATCGCGCCGGCGGCGTTCGTGGGGGCGGACGGCCGGGCCCTGGAGATGCTGGAGGTCCTGGACCTCAGCGGCACATTCCTGACGCACAGTGAGTCCAGCCCGGCGGGGAGTCCCTGAGGATCTGAGCCAGGAGCTGGGCCTGGGCTGAGCTGGATGGGGAGGGCAGAGGCAGGGCTGGGGGTTCCGGGATGACTCCGGCGTCTAGTGCCCAACAGGTTTCAACCATAACACCGACTGGGTTTTCGGAGACAAACTGGGTCTTATTGGAAATGCCACTGTGTTAGTCTGGGTAACAGAAACGCATATATGTATAAGAGAGAGTTTTTTTATATATAGGGTAAGTGTACATTCAGAAAGCATCCCAACCTAGTGCTGTCCAAGCCCGTAAGTCCGACTTAGCCCATATGTCTGACACCGATCTACAAAGTCCTCCTCAAACTCACAAAACACACACAATGACGCCAATTGCAGGAGGATCACGGGCCAGTGGGTAGAAAGTCTTTGAATCCAGTGCCGGTTTAAGCATCTCAGCGCTGGCAGGGGTCTCCACGTGGCTTCTCCAGCACCCACGGCTGCAGCAGGATAGGTCCTCAGTGATGTCTCCCAGGGAGTGAGCTTTGTTAGCTGAAGCAGGGAACTGGCTAAGGCAGCAGCACCCTAGTTCGACCATCAACAAGAGACCCGAGAACTAGAAAGGCGAGGCTCACCGAGCCATTTATCTTTCCGCCCTTCAATCAATCCCTCGTGTGTCCATCGGCCAGGTTGGCACAATAAACCCTAACTATCTCAGCCACACAGGAGCTTGTTAATGTCACCAAGGTTATACGCCTCCGGACTCGTAGCGACAACGGAAGGAAACACTGCCTGATCCTGGGCCATCGCTCCATTGTTGTGTTCCAGTCCGTTGTTGCAACTGCTGTGTTAATCCATTGTGTTGTGGGTCTTCCTCCTTTCGGCTAACCCTCTACTTGACTGAACATCATGTCTTTCCCCAGGAACTACTACTTATGACTGGTGTGACCTACGTGAAACAAAGTCTAGTCATCCTTGCTTGTAAACAGCATTCAGGCCAAGATTTCTTCCAACACACAATGATGCCTTCATCTGATGTTTTTCACCAGAACCATAACTCAAGGGCATTACTTCTTGCTTAGTCATCTTTGCCTTGTCCCATTTCAAATGCATATGAAGTGGATAAAAATACCATGGATTGGGTTGGGTCAGGTTTGCTTTCACAAATTTTTTTGCGCTTTGACACTGTAAAGAGGGTTTTTGCAGCAGATTTGCCCAATGAAGTGCACCGTTTGATTTCTTAACCGCTGGCTCCATGGGCGTTGACTGCGGATCCAAGTAGAATGAAGTTCTTCACAACTCCATCTCTTCTCCATTCACCATAATGTTGTATCTTGGTTGAATCGTGAGAATTTTGTTTTCTTTATGTATAATCCATACTGGCGGCTGTAGTCTTGTGTCATCCTCAGTCTTGGCTTCAAGTGCCCTTGTCTCATGAAGCAAGGTTAATGAATCTTTCCCATCTTCTATTGCCACATTCTTCTGCATAGAGTCCAGCTCCTCGGTTTATTTGCACACCATACCAATGAAAAGAACATACCCCTTATCCACACCTTCTCTGCTTTTAAACCACGTAGTATCCTTTTATTTTGATCAAATGACTGCCTCCTGGTCGATGTGCAGGAACTGCATGAGCAAAATGGAGTGTTCTGGAATTCCTTTCTTTGCAACGACATCCATGAGGGATGTAAACTGTTGTTATCTCGGTTTTACATTTGAGGAAACCAAAGCCCAGAGAGTTCAAATGATATGGCTAGTCCAGTGGTGTCTCCGAGTTCAAACCCAGGCTCCCAGACCCAGATTTTAGTCATTCTGCTCTGAGATAGCCCAGCACAGCCAGGTAAGTGGAACTGTGAATGAATTGTTCAGGGTTGGTTAATAGATAGATTTAGTACCAAAGGTGCACTGAGTAGCAAGCAACTGATGCTCTGGACTGAGTTCATCGATTTGTCCACTCAGTTGGCTAGAATGGCTCCTGTCACCTGTCACTTTGGATAGAGTCATCCAAACAGTGTAGGCAAGAGGCAGGAATACTGGCACTCCTATGTGTTTGGGGCTCTGATTTGCAAGATTGGCTGTACTTCTTTATAGCTGATAACACTCCATCTGTCTGTAAGCATCTCCTCTACCACAGATAAAGAGAAAACAATGCTGAGAAAACAGATGGGAAGGGGCAGGCTCTCCATGTTTTAAAGAGTATAACATATTCAGGTTTCTGGGCCTCATCCCGCCTTGTTCTTTCTCATCTCCCTCCTTAAAGTCTCTCTCTCTCTCTCTCTCTCTCTCTCTCTCTCTCTCTCTCCCACACACACACACACACACACACACACACAGAGTTGTCATCAAGCTGGCCCTGGCTCATAGAGACCCTAAGTGTGTCAGGGAAGAACAGTGCTCCATAGAGTTTTTGGTGAGTGGCTATCTGGAAATAGATTGCCAGGCCTTTCTTCCAAGGCACCTCTGAGTAGACTTGAACCTCCAAATTTTGGTTAGCACTCACATGCTTATCTGTAGATAGCACCTTATGTACATTCTTATGAAATCAGTCCCACTCCTGGCAGTCAGGAGAGTGAAGTTGGGGTTTTTTGTGGTTTTTGTGTGGGGTCTAAATAGAGGGTGTGGCCGGTGGCATATCTGGAGACAAGTATCATAAGTTTGAGTCCTGCCTCAATCCCTTTCCAGCTACGGTGTCTTGGACAAATCCTTCTCGTCTCTGGCCTAGATCATCTCATCTACAAAATGGTGGGAAGAAACGTTGTAGTTTCTTCTGGCTGAAATAGCCTACACGTCCTAAACTCCCAAGCCTGTTAACAGCCTTCATGCTCCCGGTGACCTTCTCTACTCTGTTGTTTCCTTCATCCCTCCTGGGCTCTAGCCTCCTGAAGGAGTGGGTGGGGTCCCCTCTGTGTTTCAGTTCAGTCGGAATGGATCAGAGACCTGCCAAACCTCACCTCCCTCTACCTGAGGAAGATGCCTAGGCTGAAAAGCCTGCAAGGGGACATTTTCAAGATGACCCCCAACCTACAACATCTGGACTGTCAAGACTCCTCAGCCCTCAGCTCTGTCCACACACACATCTTTGAAGACACGCCTCACCTCCAAACTCTTCTCTTTCAAAAGTAAGTGTTTCTGAGACGTGCCTGAAATTCGCCCGTTGCACTGTGTTGAATATTCACGTCAGCGAAAAAAGCATTGCTACCAGGATCCCAGTTCATACATAAACATGTACGCGCCAAACAGAATGCGCTGAGACGTATCTCTGCAATCAGTAGACGGCTGCAAACAAGTTCTCTCAGCAGCCCACTGTCTTAGTTTCCTTATGATGCCTTAAAAAAAAGATAGAAGAGTCCAATCAAAACAAAAGGGGATCTTGTGGGCCAGGTAAATTCAAGGCAGAAAGGCCAGCCCCTTCTCTTTTGTCTGCACGGTACCACAACTTTTTCTCTTTAGACTTCTTTCACGTGAGTCAAAGTCCTCGCACCCCCTGAGTCCTGGGGGAGGTTTTCCCAGAGGTAGCCTGGAAGCTGAAGTGACTTAAGTTTCCAGAGAGGATGCTCCATTTGCCTCAAGGCAGGGGTTCTCAACCTTCCTAAAGCCTCGACCCTTTCAGACAGTTCATGTAGTGGTGACCCCTCCCACCATAACATTATTTTCATTGCTGCTTCATAACTGTAAATTTGCTACTGTTATGAATCAGGAGACCCCTGTGAAAGGGTCATTTGACCCCCAAAGGGGTCACGACCCACAGGTTGAGAACTACTGCCTTAAGGGAGACATTGCGTCCTCCTCCCTTGTGAATGGAGTTCCACCAAAGCCACCTTCAAAGCCCAGCTCCCCCACCTTCCAATCCTCAGACTGCTTAGCCCTGGGTGCCGAGTTTGCATAGCCTCTTGTTGGGGCTCTGCTTGTCCTCCGCAGGTGGTCAAGTGCCTCACTTTAGGGTAGGCGGAGCTCTGCTCTCGGTGGGTTAAACTTTGGACTATTCACCGAAAATCCATAGTTTGCACTCACTTGCCTGCTCCGTGGGATAAAAATGAGGCAGTTGGCGTCCATAAATTGACAGCTTCAGGAACCCTGAGGGGCAGTTCTACACTGTCCTAAAAGCCTGCTGAGTTAGAATATACTCAGCATCAGTGGGTCGGGATTTTGCACCTCATGTGTGGGTCTCATCCATGTGTAGTCTCTGTTGAACCCAAGACTGAAGGAATTTACTCCGGTAAAGAGTTACAGTCTCAGAAAATTTCAGAGACAGTTCTACTCTGTCCTACAGGGTCCCTATGAGTCGACCTCAACTCCATGGCTGTAAGTTTGGCTTTGCTTTTTTAAATATCCCATTAGAGGACAGCTATTTCTGATTGTAGCTATGGAAAAATATTAGAAATGGCATCTCCTTGGAGTCTCACTCCTGCTGTGAGATTTTGTGCTTCCAACCCACAACCAAAAATCTTAACCCACGCCATCCAGTCAATTCCAACTCACATGGGCTTTCCCGATGGGTTTCAAGGCTGCAAACCTTTTATGGGAGCAGACAGGCTTGACTGTCTTCCAAGGAGTGGTTAGTTGGTTTGAACCCCCAATCTTGTGGTTAGCAACCCAATACCTACCTGACAGCACTCCCAGGACTCCTCGCCAACCAACTAGAAAGCTCTCGTTTTCTTTAAAAAAAAAAAAAAAAAGCGGTAATCATAGCTGCCCCTCAGAGTTCCATGAGGTAGATAATGTAATGAAAGCATTGAAATAGTTTCTTCTTAAACATCCTGCTACTTAACAGCTATTCCTGTGGGTGTGGCCATGTGTAAATGTTAAAAATGGCATCTGCTTATTCATCCAAGTGTTGTTAGATGAAAATAATCTTATTAGTAGAAAATCCCTGGAAAATCTAAGAGCAGGTATTGTTATTGCTGTGCAACTATGAAAAATGGAGTTGTTTTTCTAAGAGAATCAACAGTGGTTCAGAAGCAAAGAGACCCCTTTGCTCCTTTATTCCTGCATTCAACAAGCACACAATGTATATCCCAATCCATTAGACACATAATGTATATCCCAATCCATTGGACACATAAGGTATATCCCAATCCATTAGACACATAGGGTATATGCCATTCCATTAGACACATAAGGTATATCCCGATCCATTAGACACATAAGGTATATCCCGATCTGTTAGACACATAAGGCATATCCCGATTCATTAGACACATAAGGTATATCCCGATCCATTAGACACATAAGGTATATCCCGATCCATTAGACACATAAGGCATATCCCAATCCATTAGACACATAAGGTATATCCCAATCCATTAGACACATAAAGTACATCCTGATCCATTAGACACATAAGGCATATCCCGATCCATTAGACACATAGGGTATATCCCAATCTATTACACACATATATCCCAAAGGGAGAGATGACATGGAGAGCTCTTCACCCACTGCATGGCTTTAGTGAAGATGATGGTGGTGCTTGTGCTTGTGGTAATGGTTGTGACAATGGGGATGACGTTGGTAACAATGGTAAATTGGTGATAATGATGGTATTGGTGATGCTGGGGGTGGTTGTGATGGTGATGAAGAGGAGGGTGACGATGATGGTTATGCTGACGGTGATGGCCACAACAGGCTCCGGGCTTTCAGGGACCTGCGAGTCCAGAGGCAGCAGCAATTCTCTCTCACATTACACGGTGACCGGTAACCAAGGCCCCCAGCATGTGCTGTTATAAGGCAAGTGGAGGTTCCAGACTGGAGCAGGGAGGCTTCTCCAGGCAGAGATAATCTAGACAGCAAGCCCTGTGCAAGGCAGACCTGTCCGAAGTGGGAAACCCACCCTTCTCCACTAAGAACGAGACACGAAAGTGGTAAGGCTGCCCCCGGTGGAAGGCAGATAGCTTGAGATCCTCAGAAGCACAAGGCGGGCTTGTCGAGATCTGGCTCTCATGACGTCCCTCTATCTAAGGAGCTTCCAACAGCTCCAGGGGGTGGGGGGTGGGGGGATTCCATTGTCATTCAATTCCATGTTTTCCCTGAACATCGTATTGTATGCTCACCTGATGAGTGTCAGAGATGAACGGTAATCCAGACCCAAAGCACAATGGCCTAACCAGATTGCTTTTGTTGGTTTGTGTGTGTGTGTGTGTGTGTGTGTGTGTGTGTGTGTGTGTTTCAGCTGCAACTTGAGTTCCTTCCCTCCTTGGACTCTGAATTTCTCCCAGGAGGTGTCCATTAACCTCGTCGGCAACCCCCTCGCTTGTAGCTGTGAGTTGGCCTGGCTCCTTGCGGATGCGCAGAGAATCATCTTAAACAGGTAACACATTTACAAAGCAATGACCGTGGCATGGTGAATCAGCCTCCAGAAGCTGAAGTGCTGTGGCTCATGTGGGGCTGGTTGGGCCACGTTGGGTGGGGCTGCCCTTCCCCATGTAGTTACATTAGGGACCCAGATGGCGGTGGCTCCGCCTCCATCCCAGCCAGCGAGAAGGGGCCAAGAGCAGGGGGGTGTTTCTGTTGTTTTTTTGTTTTTACTCTTCAAACAAACAAACGTTTATCTTTCTATGGATATCTAGATCCCTGTAACAAAATGGAGTGACTTGCATGTCACAAGTTATGACCCACTCAACTACCAGCCACAAGAGTGGCAGTTGAAACGCCCTCCCCCTCCCCACTCAGCATGCAGTGAGGGGCAGTGGGGGGGTGGGGCACGCGAGTGTGTGTGGGGGTGTTAGGATCAGAACAGACCCAGCACAAGAATGACCAGCAAGTGTAACTGAGAACGCAGTGTCCCTTGCCGAGATAGGAACAGGCCAGTTATAACACACCTGGGAGGTTGCCCATGGGCTAGGTTGGGAAGTGGATGCATTCGTTCCATTGGCCAGACTGTTCCATAGGCACAGTCTCCGCTTCCTAGCACAGGTAGTTTTAAGGAGCAGTGCTCTATGTCCTTATTTCTCCCTCCCTCTTGCCGCCGCTAGGAAAAGGGCCTTCCTGGCATCTCCCAGCTTCTGTAGCCCCAGGCATTTCTTGGTATTCCTTGGCTTGGGTTTAGGTCAGGGGTGGGGAACCTTTTTCCTGCTAAGGGACATTTAGATATTTATAACATCCTTCACAAGCCATACTGGTCAGACACTTCATTCCCTCACCCCGTGGTGGCCAGGGGGCTGAAATCCACAAGGTCTGCAGTTTGAAACCACCAGCTGCTCCTCAGGAGAAAGGCGGGGGCTTTCTATGCCCATGAATAATTAGTCTTGCAGACTCAGGGGCAGGTCTACGCTGTCCCATAGGGCCACGATGAGTCAGCACTGGCTCTATGGCAGCGAGCTGAGATGGCTTCTCCTCTGTGAGTGGTGTGAATGGCTTCATGGCCCTTATATAGTCCGCAGACTGGAGGTTCAGTACCCCTGATGTCGACTGACACTTGGTCCCCACCAAACATCAGAACTTAAAGCAGTTAGGCCCTCTCTCTGAGCTTCCGTTTCCTGCTCTGCCCAGTGGGCATAATGACAGGGAATGAGAGTGAGGGTCGCTGGGGTGATGCCTTTAGAGTGTGTAGTATGTGGTACCTGGCAGGTGCGTGTTGATAAGGCTTAAAGAGAAGGGACACGGGTCCAGGAATCCGAGCCGAGGACAAGCAGCCCAACGGCCTTCTAACTGGTTTGCCTCCCTTCCAGGGCAACAGACACTGTGTGTACACCAGCGGCAGGCTCTGGGGGGGTCTTCCCAGCCTCCCTGGCTCTCTCCCAGCTGCCTGGTGTGTGCCAGCCCGACCAAACCACCACCCTTGTTGCTTCAATACCACCCGCCTCTAAGAATTCCACCCACATCCCATCAACCCAGAGTGAGATGCTGGGCTCTCCTCCGTCGCCCCCTACCACGCCTGGCACCAGCCTCTGGTCCCAGCCTGGGGAAGGCCAACAGAACACCACCAATGCCGCCACCCTTCCCATGGAGACCCCGTGGCCAGCCACAGGAGCCCAAAGCAGTACCCTGGAGGGGGGTGCCCACTCGGCCATCATCTCCACAAATGGTTATAGAAATGCCAGTGGCCCGCCCAGGGCTTCCAGCACCGCCTGGACTGCACACCCAAGGGGGCGGCTTATCAGTCGGCCTCCCATCTCAGCTGTCCCCACCTCTTTCACCGGCAACCAATGGGATCCTCTCCCCACGACAGGAAACTCTGTGAGCCAGCCTCAGCCCAACGCGGGGACTCCCCAAGCCCCCCAGCCGAGCCCCTCGGAGGGCGACATCCCCATCATACTGATGGACGACTATAGCGATGAGGAGGAGGCGGTCGGGGAGGTGACAGGGCCGCTTCACCAGGACATCGGGGATTGTGACTACCACCCCTGCAAGCACCTCCAGACCCCCTGCGCCGAGCTGCAGAGGCGCTCACGGTGCAGGTGCCCGGGTCTCAGCAGTGAACACGTCATCCCAGACCCTCCCCGGCTCCTGGGGGTGTCCGAGGTGACCGACACGTCCGCGGTCGTTCAGTGGTGTGCCCCCAACTCCGCGGTGCACAAGTACGAGCTCCACTACCACCCCAAGGGCCAGCCGGAGGCCACGCTGAAGGTGGGGCAGATCCATGCTGCAGCCCGGCAATACCTTCTGTCCGGCCTGGCACCGGCCACCACGTACCACGTGTGTGTCCTGGCAGCCAACAAGGCAGGCCTGAGCCCGCTGCGCGCTTCTGTCTGGAGGCAGCCGTGCACGACCTTCACCAGCAAGTCCAGCAGCTTGCTGCTGCTGGTGGCCCTGGGAAGCGCCAGCGGCCTACTGCTCATCAGCACCCTGGTGCTGGCTCTCTGTCTCTGCTGCCGGATCCGGGCACCCCAGCCAGAGCAGCCCCCCACGCATCTCGTGGCCTACAAGAATCCAGCCTTCGACTATAGGCTCTAGTCTTCAGGAGCTCTGGGGCCGCAGTGGATTCCGACTCAGGCCTCCAACGGGGACCGCGTTGGTGGACTCTCAGATAGAAGGAACTGCCCCGCAGCCTGTGTGCACTAAGGGCAAGCTTGGTGCTCACAATGCCCCCTGCGGGCTCTGAAGACCTCTATGCCCTGGGCAGCCCACAGCTTGCGGGCTCAGCGGGCTGGCCACGTGTTTCTGAGTCCAGGGAAACCTTTCACTCTTCAGCGTCACTGCTTGTCTGGAAACGTGAAGGACAAGGGTGGCCCACTCCCACTGCCTCCCAGGCCATCCACTGTCTCAGTGGGGTTTTTAGCAAGGAGTGGCCTGTGGTACCCAACGGAATATAGGTATGAAGGGGTAAACCCACACAAGCACAGTCCAGCCTCTTCTGCTGTGGGGGACATGACATCCTCAGATTTCCCCAGGATGTTTCCCCACATCAAGGGCAGCTCTGGCTTAGGCCCATGAATGTGTTACCCAAGAGATTCACCCCTGGGGGTTCCTGAGACTGGGGTGGGTAGGTGGGGATGGGGGTAGCTTCTTCTGAGGCTACTCGCTGCATCTCAGGATATGACCCCAAAATAAAGACTTCCAGCTTTGCAGTTAAAACCAGCCTGGAAAGAAAATGTTTTGAAAAGGATGATGGCAACATATGTACATATGTTGTACATTTGTTGTATGGATGTATGGATTGTTTTAAGAGCCGTAAAAGCCCCCAGTAAATGGTTTAAAAAACAAAACAAAAACCAGTTGCCACCAAAAAAACAAAAAGCTCCAGTGTGGGGAACTTCCTTTGTGAAATGGGAAAAGCTTGTCCTTCTTAGGCAGTTACATTTCAGCTTAGAATGGACAAATAAATATGAACTCATCTTTCTTAGGAAATAAAGTAAGCCCACATGGAAGAATTTTCTTTTTTAATGAGAGCAAAGATGGGCAAATGAAAACGTCAAGGCACTATAGGCAGGGGTTAGCAAACAGCGGCTCTCAAGCCATCTGTGGTTAAACTTTCAGTACGTGCATGTGGATCTGAAGTAATACTGAACATTTTTAAAGGTTATTATTCAGGTAATGATTCTATTCGTTTGTAAAAAATATATTTATGGTTCTCAAATAATTTTTAAATTGCTGTGAGGGACAGGATTGGCTCTTGTGTCTCAAGTGTGCTGTCCCCTGTTCTATATCAAACTAAACCCATCGCCATTGACTCAGTTGACTCAGTGACCCTATAGGACAGAGCAGAACTGCTCCCTAAGGTTTCTGAGGCTGTACATCTGTATAGGAACAGACCTCCTCGTCTTTCTGCTGCACAGAGGTAGACAGGTCAAAGTGCACAGCTTGTTGTCGTGAGGTCAGCAGCCCAATGTAGAACACAATAGGCCTCTCTAGTGGGCAAAGCCTCTCTCTGCTCCGAGATGTGTGCCTGTCAGATGTCTTTCCAGATATTTTACTTTTCCTTATTTTTTTAATTTATCAGTTATTTAATGAGGTTCTTTGAAAGAAATCTAAGACCAATTTCTGAGGGTAAATTCCATTTATGAGCAAGAAGGTAACATGCAAGTAGCCTTGGAATTGAGGAACATCTTTGAGTTTTGCCAAAATTTGCATGTCCAAGGCTTTCTGATCAGCTTTGCACTGATCTGCGCCATCTTGTATTTCTTTTTCATGTCAGAGATCTCACCTTCTTGGTGTCTTGGCTTCCAAAGCTGCTTCTTCTTGAAGTCGGCATCCATGAGATGCTTGGGGATTTTCACACCACTGATACTGATTTTGGTGAAGGTGGTGGCAATGACAAATTTCTGGTGTGTTCTACGCAGAGGAACTCGATGGAGGGAGAGAGGTCCAGTCACAAGCAGCAAGCCCCTGCCCAGCTGCTTCAGGAGAGCCACTCGGTGATGTCCCGGAGGGGTGTCATCAGAACAGTGCCCGGGGTGATGCTGGCGCGCACGCTTTTTGCCGTGCCTCCAAAACTGTCGCCACCAACTGTGCTTTGTGACAGTAGCAAGGTCCTTCTCCTCCTCAACCCTGAATTTGGCCGCTGAATCCTGCCTCTTGTACGTGGCCTTTCTGGAACACGTGGCAGGGCGCGAACAGCGGCCAATTCCTCGGACTTGGACGGGGTTTCTGCTGCAGTGGGGCTTCCCCTTCTTGAGCTTCCTGCCCTTGAGCTTAGCCTTCTGAACTCGACCACTGGCATTTGCTTTCTTGACTTCAGGCTGCTTCTCCTTGGCGTCCAGCTACTTCTCTGCCTTTTCACTTGCCGTTTTGCAAGATGGAAAAGATCTACTTTTTCACTTGCATGCAAACTTTTTAAAAAATTGATTTGATGAAATTGTGGTCTTTATTTCTATATTTTTCTGTTTGCATTCATTTCTACTATTTAAAAAAAAAAAACGTTGATTCTCACTTGCCTCTGAGTACCTATTAAACTGCACAACAATCAGGCTGCACAAACTGCCTGTTCAAATTTGACTTTCAGAACAGAATTGTCTAATGAGAGAGAATCACCGATCTAAAGGTAGACAATGAAAACTTGAAAAGAACCAAAGATATAATTAGGGTGAAGTCTACAGACCTGTCACTCCACTCGTTGTCTCAGTGCTTTTTCTAGCATACTACCATCGACTTATTGAGACTCACTGGCAGCACCAGAATCGGTTTCCATCACCAATTGAGTGTGTATGCATAAACCCCCTGGTAGCACAGTCAGGTAAGTGCTGGACAGCTAACCACAAGGTCAGAAGTTCAAACCCACCAAGAGCTCATCCACAGGAGAAGGCTATCTGCTCCCATCAAGAGTCACAAATGGAAAACTCTTATAAAAGGTTACCATAAACCAGAATTGACTCGTGGCAGTGGGTTTGTTTTTGGTTTACTACAGTTCCAATCATTTTGTCAATCGGTAGAATTTGCACGCTTTGTAATCAGATTCCCAAAATTGAGAGACATTTGGATAAAGGTTAAGGTGAGAGAAGCATACTACCCTGTCTAATTAAGACCTTAATAAAGAGAAAATTGGTCTGACGCCCATAAACCACTCCAAGGAACACCAACCCATTACAAACTATTGCTGCCAGACCAACTGACTCAGAGACCCAATAGGGCGGAGCAATACAGCCCCCATATGGTACCAAAGCTGTGATATGTAAGGAAGCAGGCTTTCACCTTTCTCCTAAAGAGCAGTGTGTGTGTGTGTGTGTGTGTTGAGTACCTAACCACTACACCACCAGGGCTCCTTACACAGCCTTTGTACCAAACCATAAACAAGTGTAATGCCACCCAGTGTTTTCTCCTGCAGGTATCTTGCTTTGAAAAGTTCTGCCTTTTCCCATCATTTTTGTGTGCTAATACTGTGTCTCATGGGTGGTCCACAGAGCACTTCCACCACCTCCCGACTCTCTGCCTCGCAGGCTCTGAGGCCTTCCAGGTACCAGAAGGGTTAAGAATGGCTGGCAACATGCCACTCTTCTCTTCTTTCTCACTCGACAGATCTGGTAGCAAGGTCACTGGCTGCGGGTATCAGTAATGTTCCGAGTCAAGGGCAGCTCTGTTGCTGGTCTGGAAACCAGAGGCAGGGAAAAGCAAGCTCCAAGTTCTCCAACCTCAAGGTTTGCTTATAACGACTTCCTGTCTTAACAGAGCGTGTGCTTTCAGTTCCCTCTTCAAAAACACGATTGGGGCGGGGCGGGGTGTGTGTGTGTGTGTGTGTGTGTGCATCCATTCATTCCTGCTTTCAATCTCTCCAAGCTTAAAAATTTGCAAAATTCACAAGCAGATACTGGCCCTGGGAGTTTAAAGGAGCATTTACCTTATTTATGGCACTGCTTCTCTTGGTTTCTATTCAATCCCCCTCGATAACTCCACAACACACACACACTACGTCACTTAAGCGGGCTGAGTATACTGCTGAATGATCTAGTGTACTCATTGAAGATGTGGTGTCTTACAGGAAAAATCCTTAGATATCAACAAAATAGTAAATGTTCTCTGGCATTTAACTTGTATCTAAAAATAGACAAGGCCACCAGTCCGAGCTACCTTGAGAGCTGTTTCCACACGATGGCAATGTCGCGCCTACCAACTGCTGCTTCGTACTGACTGATGAATTCAGTGCAGATGCCAAGAGTTGGGGACTTTGAAATCACTTGAAAAGTAAACCTCAAAGAGGTCTCCTGACCTCAGCACCATGAAAGGATCCTTGGCATCACGGAGTCCAGGAGTCAGAGAACACCAACAGACAACCCAAGTCCCCGGTTTCTATCAGGAATAAGTCTGTCTGTAGGGCCAATCATGAAATCCTCTGCTTTGGTCCAGAATGAAGTGTCATGGCCAGATTGTGAGACTGTCTATGAAAAGCCCTTTCCAATGCTTGGTGCTAGCCTCGTGGGCAGAGGAGCCCGTGTACCACATGGGAGGACTTCATAGCAGATTCTTTCTGTAAAAATGCTTTAACTCACCTGGCTTCCACTTACTATAAAAAAACCATCTCTAAACCTCTTTAATAGGAATGTCAGCCAAGAAGACCACTTTCAGTTGCAGGGATGCAGTACATGTATGGGTGTGATTCAGTGTGGGCTAGATACGGCCCCCCCTAAGTGAATCCTCAAAGTTTTAGTTTCCTCGTTTGTAAAAGAAGGACAACACCCCCCCACGCCCACCCTCACTAATATTTGTGATGACAAAAGTGAGAACGAGGATGTTTAGCTGTGGGGTAAACATCAATAATATTAAAACCATCACTCGGTACCTCTTTTCCTCTCCCAGGTACCCCAGCAAACATACAACAATGTCGAGTCTATGAAACAGAAGTTAGTGTCTGAGATCCCTTCTGAAGCGTGCTCGTCTCCTGTGTGCGCCAAGTCAAACCAAGACAGTGTAAAAGAAGAAGAAACAAGGGCTTTCCTCTGAAAAGTGAGCCCTCTTCTGGGGGAACTCAGCTCGTGTCATCCCACGAGCATGAGTGATCGAGACCAGTGGTGAGCTCCTTCAGGACATGTGTGTACACAACCATACGGTTGGTCAGTCGCTTAGCATCAAGAAAATCACTGTGACTTCCAGTTCTTTTACGATTTTAATAGTTTAACAAAAACAAAAGATACGCCAAAGTTTTAAAAATTGTTGAAAAATATAGTTTCATATTATTTACATATCACACGAATATGAGTTCCAAATATCATACAAACATTGCTATGAGAGAAACATGTGGGGAGTATGACACAAATTATGGACTCCCGGATGGCAAAGGGTAGCGGACATGTTCTTGCCTTCTAACGACCTTGGTTATTTGTGAGCCTGATACACACACTAGTAAGCACCTGAGAAATTGGAAGTCTTTACTGAGCAGAAATACCTCTATGAGAGAGGAGCTTCAAAAAAAACTCAAGGAAAAATGGAATTCAAGGAAAATGAAATTTTTCCATGAACATTTTGAAGCTCCTCACATTTAGTTTGAGCTCATTTATTTTTTTCACAACTTCGTGCATTTTAAATCTCTTTACAACTTTATTTCATTCGTAGCTAGGCAATCTTTATTCTGTCAATATACTCAATGATGGAAGAGTAACCCTGTGAACTACATTGTGCATCCGGATCTCAGATCAAACCCACAACCGTTGAGCCAAGTTGTACAGGATCTGTATTTAAGCCCGGAGCTTCCCCGGGTGTTCTGAGTTACTAAGTTCTACGTGGAGAAGCGGCAGCTCCAGCTTCCATGCTCTGGCCTGTTTTGTTTTCAAATATCTTAATATGTGACTGACAATCATTGGAATAACTGGCATCTTACAAATTAATCAAGAAACCTAAGATAGAAAGAAACAATTCTAAATGATAGCTTTATTTGTATTTAAAAATACACTGGAAATTCCGCATATGCCCATGATCAAGCTTACTTTCAATGCACACGACTTCAATTTGAATGACATGGTTTGTTCTGACAAGTCCTTTTTCAAGCTGAACACCAACATGGAAAAACTCCTTCAGATTTCCGAGTGGCCCTGGCACCAACGACGTGTCGATCGCTTCCTTGCTAGTGGTAGTGAGCGAATGGCTTTCATCTGCCTTTTATCACCTGCACTGTTTTCCGGCCGTAATGATAGTAACTGTACGCGGAGGCGGCTGTGGTGAGAGCCGTAAAACACCTTGTGCAGGAGCAAAGAAAGGACGAGTCAGCGAATCAAAACAGTGGGACCAGTCAAATTCATGAAGAATAATTAAGGTACTCCCCCTTCCCAAGGGACAAAAGCCATTAAGGTGCCCTCATTTAAAGGGGTATGTACAGAGTAAAAAGAGCCCCATAGATTTTTCTTTTAGCTACAAGAATCTAGGTATGCTACTTTAAAAATGTCGTTTGAATTACTACTATCAAGCAAAATCTAGCTTATGGTCCCCCTTAAATAAAAAAAAGATTCATAACAAACAAAAAAACCCCAAGATGTTGAGAACAAGGGGGGTCGGAGAGGAGACCCAAAGCCCATCTGTAGACAATGGGGTCTACCGAGGGGCCACAGGGAGGGGATGAGTCAACCAGGGTGCGGTAGAACACCGATGGATCACACAATACACCTCTATCCCTTGAGGCTTTCTCACCCGCCACTGTCAATGACCCCAGTGCTGCTCCTCCCTCTGGACCGGACCGGAGCAGGTACTCAGGTAAAGATAAGAGATAACGCTCCCGACACACGGAGTCCAGGAACAGGAATGGGAATAGCAATACCAGAAGGGTAGGATGATGCAGGGGAGAGAAGGGGAGGATGAGGGAACCGATCACAATGATTGGCACACACACGCCTTCAGGAAGAAGAACAACAGAAACCATGTGGGAAGGGAGACAGCAGTTGGTGTGAGATATGAAAATAATAATTTATAATCTATCAAGGGGCCACGAGGGGAGGCAGAAAGTAACTGAGACCAAGGGTTCAACAGAAAGTAAACGTCTAGAAAAGAACGATGGCAACAAATGTACAAACATGCCTGATACAACTGATGTCCGGATTAAGAGTTGTAAGAGCCCTCAATAAAGTGATCTTTTAATTTTAAAAAAGAAAGAAAAAAAAACAAAACAAAAAAAGAATGAAAGTACTAGCACCTGTCATCCTGATCATACATTGTCTGATGTTCGGTTTGATTCTCACTACAGCCTCATCTTGAGGAGGAGGAAATGGAGGCAGGGAACTTGCTCAGAGCGACAGACCCGCACGAGCCTGGCATAGGCTCGAGTCCAGGTCCACCTGCGCTCTTCCCCCGCTCCAGGCGGGAGGACAGTAGCAGCTCTCATTCTTGCGAGTTTTGGAAATCCCCAGGGTTATGGATATCAGAGTAATCTGAAATCTATTGTAGTACTTTGCTTACTGAGTTCCCTAAAGTGAATTATCAGATTAACCAACCCTCTTGATTTCCTTTGAAATTGCACAATTTAAAAAAAGAATTTTTTTTAAAGCTTAGTATGTGTATAATTTTAAAAGATCCTTTTTGGGCTTTCCCTCGACACCCCCCAATATGAAATCCACCCAGACCCCAAGGCACAAACCCTCCTCCCTTCCTGGAGTTGTCACTCTGCTTTCTACTGAGAAGTAGCTTCCCTTCTTGGAAACCTCCAGAGGTCATCTGTGTTCCTCATAAAAGCTACTGAGTATGATTGGTATGTGCCATGCTTGTTTCTTTTTTATTATTTTATTGGGGGCTTTCACAGTTCTCATCACAATCCATGCATATATCCAGTGTGTCAAGCACATTTGTACATATGTTGCCATCATCATTTTCAAAACATTTTCTTTCTACTTGAGCCCTTAGTATCAGCTTTTTTTCCTCCCCCCCTCCTGAACCCTTGATAATTTATAAATTATGATTTTTTTAAATTTCTTACACTAACTGCTGTCTCCTTTCACCCACTTTTCTGTTGTTTGCCTTGTGTGTGTGTGTGTGTGTGTGCGCGCGCGCGCGCGCGCGCACACGGGTTACTTATATGTCAATCATTGTGATTGGTTTCCCCTTTCTCCCCCTACCTTCCCCTTACCCTCCTGATATCGCTATTCTCATTATTGGTCCTGAGGGATTTATCTGTCCTGGATTCCCTGTGTTGCAAGCTCTTATCTGTACCCGTGTACATGCTCTGGTCTAGGCAGATTTGTAAGGTAGAATTGGGGTCATGATTGTGGGGGAGCAAGTATTAAAGAATGAGAGGAAAGTTGTGTGTTTCATCAGTGCTATACTGCATCCTGACTGGCTCATCCCTTCTGTGAGGGGATGTCCAATTGTCTACAGATGGGCTTTGGATCTCCACTCTTCCCTCCCCCTTGTTCAAATCCATATGATTGTTTGTTCTGGGTCTTTGATGCCTGATACCTGATCGCATCAACACCTCATGATCACACAGGCTGGTGTGCTTCTTCCCTGTGGGTCTTGTTGCTTCTCAGCTAGATGGCTGCTTGTTTATCTTCAAGCCTTAAGACCCCAGACGAATAGCAAGTTTCTTAAGAGTGCTATCAATTATAAAATACAGCCTCGGGCTTTATCCTTCAGTGCTCAGTAGACAGTAAGTGCTCCAAAGGAACCCTCAGACTGCTAGAATAGATCGTTTTGTTGGCGTCTACCCAACCCTGAGTCTCCATTTAGCTTACCACAGGATCTGAAGGTAGATGCTGTCAGCATAATTGAAAACTGGAGCTGCCAAAGAAGCTGCTACCAGGATCAACTGGACTGCTGTGTTTACCTTAAAGAAAAAAAAGGGGGGGGGGTTTGTTTTTAAAATACTGTCGACCAGATCCCGCTTCAGGCTTGACAGGCAAAAGCAGATAGCTCATCATGCCGAAAAGTGCTGTATCCTCATCATGCTTGATGTCGGTTTCTAACTCCAGAATCTCGGGCAAAGGACCTGGCGTTCCCAGGTCAGAATACAGACAAGGGCAACCTCACCCGCTGCTCTGACTGCACAACTGCTCTGCACAGTGAGGCTACCGCAGCGGTCAGGATCGGCACAGCAATCCAATGTTGCCAATTCCGCTGCCTGCTTTCCAGCTGCACACTACAACAGCCCTGTGGGCATGAACATAGCGGAGCTGCCTCTACACTGGTCGACAAGGTAACAAGTTACTTGCTTGCAGTCACAGCAGTTCACAGAACCAAACCTAGAACCCAGAATTCCTGGTACCTCATCCACTGTGCCCTGCACACTGCCCACCTGGTAAACCCTATTTGATTGAAAATGGAAATCCACTCATCTCGTCTTGAAGCAGAGGCTCGCTGCAGGGAATGAGAAGGGGTCCCTGGCTTAAAAGGCAGCATGTGAAGAAAACAGAATTGGAATACAGAGAAGCCCCCATCTGCTTATGAGAGAAGGACTTCAGGGGGGCTGTGCAGATGAAACACTGGGTGGTGTGCTCAGCAACGCAGCTGTGGTCTGCAGCCAAATGACAACGATTCCATTTCCTCAATGAAAGCAAATGATTTGGTCCCTGCACCATGTAATACTACACTCAAATTGCTGTATTACAAATCATCAGAAGCCAAAATCAAAAACATGTATATAGATTAACAGCCCACCTCAAGGACTAGTAAATAAAACAATCACCCTTCTGTCCATAGGTAATCTGCACCCCAAGCCAATGAAACCTCTGTCACAGGCATGGGACAACAATAGTTGGTGCAAATGGAAAAGTGGGTGCAGGGAGACATTGGTCAGTGTAAGCATGACAAAATAATAACAATGTATAAATTATCAAGGGTTCATTGGGCGGGGGGTGGGGGGTGGGGGGGGAATAAGAAGCTGGTACCAAGGGCTCAAGTGGAAAGAAAATGTTTTGACGATGATGATGGCAATAAATGTATAAATGTGCGTGACACAATGGATGGATGGATGTACGGTAATAAGAATTGTACAAGCCCACAACAAAATGACTTTTTTTTTTAAGTGATTTAACCATAGGGGAGAACAAAAAGAGAAAAAATGTTCTAAAATCTATTGTGGTAATGACTATACAATTATTCTTGATATTACTGAATTATTGAATTGTATGATATGTGGTTATGTGCCAATAAAACTGTAAAAGAAAAGAAGCAAAAAAGAAAAACACAAGTCCTCAGGACTTGTAACTGCCGTTACAGCAGCCTGTGTGGATATGTGTAAACCAGGCATATTGGGAACACAGAATAGGTAACCAAGAGTAACAACACTTTGCTAGTGAATAAAAATTCCTTGCATCCTTTTTCAACTGCAGCAATCTCTGGAAAACGGAAGGACTGCACTATACAAGAATAATGTTTTTCTTAAAGAGAACCCAAAATAAAACCAAACACTGCCTTTGAGTCTAGTCCATTTCAACCCACAGCAATCCTAAGGACAGACTAGACCCACACCTTTGGGTTCCTGAGGCTGTAAGAGATCATGGGCGCAGAACGCCTCATCTTTTGCCCACAGAGCACCTGGTGGGTTCAAACGGCTGCCCTTGTGGTAATTAGCAACCCAACACGGAACCCCTCACAGGGGTCGCCTAACTCATTAACAGTAGCAAAATTACAGTTATGAAGTAGCAACGAAAATAATTTTATGGTTGGGGGGTCACCACAACTTGAGGAACTGTATGAAAGGTCGAGGCATTTGGAAAGTTGAGAACCACTGCACTATGCCAACAGGGCTCCTACCCTGAGAGAGAGAGGGTAATAAAAAAGGAGGGAAGTTTCACTTCATCTTCTACATCTCAGTCAAGAAGCAATTACATTTCAACTCTCTTCAGCTTCTCTAATCGGAGGCTGGCTGACGTACCTCATTCAGACATTTAAACTCTCAAACCACCAATGCAAAACACAACACACATACTGAAGATGCAAAATGCTTGTGCTAAAACTGACAGCATGACTGCACTCGTCAATCTCTCTTTCTGTCACACACACACACACACACACACATACACACACACACACACACACCACAGCTTAAAAGGACATCTGATGTCTCTTACCTTGCTGATGAATGTTGGTTTTAACCTGGCGGTGGCATAGCAAGGATTAAAATACTTAGCAAGTGTTCTCTGGCAAAGGGACAAAAAAAATTACATATATATATTTCCTGTTCAAGTTTAAAACAAGTATTTTTGCTACTATATGTAAGTAACAGAGTATTATCTATATAATACCAGTTTTATACTAATGACACAATCAAGAAGAATGGGGCTGCATTCACCATCAAAAAGGACATTTCAAGATCTACCTTGAAGTACAATGCTGTCTGTGATAAGATTATATCTGTCCGCCTTCAAGGAAATCTAATCAATACAATTATTTTTCAAATGTATGCACCAACAGCCTAAGCTAGTTGATTAAGAAGTTGGAGAAATCCACCAAAGTCTTCAGTCTTAAATTGATCAAACATGCAATCAAGATGCACTGATAATTATTGGCGAGTGGAATGCAAAAGTTAGAGACAAAGAGGAAGGCGCAGTAGTTGGAAAATATGGCCTTCATGAAAGAAATGAAGCTGGACATCGCATGATAGAATTTTGTAAGACCAAGGATTTGTTCATAGCAAATGCCTGTTTCCAACAACTCAAATGATGACTATACACGTGGACTTCTCCAGATGGAATACAGAGAAATCAAATGGACTACATCTGTGGGAAGAGAGGCCAGAGAAGCTCAATATCCGCATAAAACCCTGGGCAGGAGCTGACTTTGGAACAGACAAGAAATTGCTCATATGAGGTCTTGTCTTTAATGACAGATCTATACTTGTACCCATTCCAAAAATAGATGACCCAGTAGAAGGCCCAAATTATAGAATATCATTAATATCACATGCAAGTAAAATTTTGGTGGAGATCACTCAACAACAGCTGCAGCAGTACACTGGCAGGGAGCTGCCAGGGGTTCAGGCCAGATTCAGAAGAGGACATGGAACAAAGGATCTCATTGCTGAGGTCAGATGAATTCTGGCTCAAAGCAGAGAGTACCAGAAAGATGTTTACTTGTGTTTTACTGACTATGCCAAAACATTCGCCAGCGTGGATAGCTAGCTACGGATAGCCTGAAGGAAGAATGAGAGTCCCAGAACACTTCATGGTGCTCATGAGAAACTTGTACATGGATCATAAGGCAGCTGTGAACAGAACAATGGCATACTGCAAGGTTTAAAATCAGAAAACGTGTCCATTATGGCTGTATCCTCCCCACTGTACTTAGTCCATCTGAATGCAGAGCAAATCATCAGAGCAGTTACATGGAGAAGAGTGCAGCATTAGGACTGGAGGAAGGCTTAATTTAACAATCTTGTTTGCTGCAGGTGAGAAGGACTTAAAGAACTTGCTGAAGACATCAAGGAGTGCAACATTTGGTAGGGATTGCAATTCAATGTAAAGATGGCCAAAATCCTCACAACTGGACCTATTTGCAACATCATGATAAATGGAGAAAAAATAGAAGTTGTCAAGGATTTTGTCTTGCTTGGATCCACAATCAATACTCATGGAAGCAGCCGTCATGAGATCAAAAGAGGAGGCCCAGTAGGTGAATGTGCTCACAAGGCCTCTTCAGAGGGCTGGGAAGCATGGCGGCTACTTTGAGGACGAAGGTGCCCCTGACCAAGCCATGGCATTTTCAATTGCCTTAGTTATTTATGAAAGTTAGACAGGAAGGCCAGAGTGCTCTTAGGGGCAAGGATGGCAACACTTCACTTCGTCTTGCACACTTTGGACGTGTGGTCAGGAAGGATCTGACCTTGGAAAAGGACAGCGTGCTTGATAAAGTAGAGGGGCAGCAAAAGGGGCAGGCCCTCACGGAGATGGCTCGGCGTGGCTGCAACCACGGTCTCAAGCATAGCAACAACTGTGAAGACGACGCAGGGCCGGGCAGCGGTTCCGTCTGCTGGGCATAAAGGGTTGCTATGGGTTGGAGTCAGCTTGAAAGCCCCTAACAACTACAGCATGAATGCAAACTGGCCACATGGGCTCCCAGACTTATTTGACCCACCACCCTTTTGCAGAAAAAGAATTACTCAGTGTTCATCTGGCCATTAAAACCTTTCATACTACCGCCCCTCATCCAAGACAAAGTGTGCTTAAGTGACACCCCGCCCCTCGTACTTCCAGCAACCCCCCGAGGGTGGTATTGCCCACTTTGAGAAACACTGGACCAGACATAGGCTCTTAAACTGTGGGTCACAACCCCATGTAGTTACCTCCTAGCACTGAGTTGACTCTGGCTTATAGGGACCGCAAAACAGAGTAGAAATATGCCCTGTGGGTTTCTGAGACTGTTCACTCTTTACAGGAATAAAAAGCTCCTCTTTCTCCGCAGCGCAGGGGGTGGTTTCAAATTGCAGCCCAACCTAGAATGCACTCCACCACACAGGCTCCTGCGACCGCCTAACTGAATGTGAGGGTCTCGACAAACTTGGCAACAGGACAAGGTTTCTGATCCTCCGACAACCAAAAATTAATTCACAATGGACCACATAACGAATCTGAGGCGTTTCTGGCAGTGCTTGCCCATGTTGCAAATTTCTTGGCCAAAGGGGGACCCCGGCGGAGAAAGTTTAAGAATCCCTCAACCAGACGCACCCTTTATACGCACCTTCTTTTATTACACGATATAAGAAATATTTGCATTCTTGGTAAATTATATGCATTATTATAAAAAATTTTCTTTCATGGTTATTGAAAATAGATCTTTAAAAATGTATAATGCAAAAACCAAACCTACAGCCATCGAGCTGATTCCAAACTTACAGTGACTCTGAGACTATCAATCTTTCAGGGAGCTGACAGCCTCCTCTTTCTTCCACAGAGTGGCTGCCAGATTTGGACTGCCGACCTTGTGGATAGCAGTTTAACACCTAACCCACAACCTAACATACTAACTTTTCTTATTTCTCAGTTCCTTAAAATGTTTCTAGCAATACTGTCATAATGTTTGTTTGGGTGCATCTTTTTCCTAAAATAAATTAATTAAATAACCTTATCACTATTTTCTTTTTACAGACATAAAAACATAAAATACGGCTCTATTTTCACGAATGTGGGGACCGAGAGGTAGGGTTATTAGGCTAAGCTTATGTGTTCGGCTATCTGTAGAGGCAGTGACCAAATATGCAAACAAGCTGTCCCAGGACCAGGGAACTCTGACTTCGAACGCCAGTTCTGGACAAGCCATCTTTGAGGGAGCAGTTTTTAACAGATGCAGATTCTCCGAACAAGAGTTTGCTGCTAGGGACAGCCTAGCTGGTCTTGCTCTCATGCATAAGCAATCACAACGACAGAGACTTGGAAAAAAAACATATCCTTTACAGTGATTATTCATGTGCTTACTCAACCACTTTCCTTAGTGGTCAATTTAACTAGTAAGAAGATAATTATGTTTCATTTTGAACACTGCTGGTAAGTGGGGATTTAAAAATAGCTTCCATAAATGATGTCCACCACGTGAAAAGGCATTTGCAATAGAACAAATTTTACTACACCACCACCCTGCCCCCTTTTTAAACCTTAAGTTATAAGTAATCCTAAAAAACGGGCTTTCAGGGGGAAATAAACTCACCGGTGTTGGAAGAGTTCGATATCTGACATAAAAAACGGCAGCAATCAACAGTATATCTCTTGAAATTATCATATAAGTAAGTGAAACTGGAAATCAAATAGAGAATAGTTTTGATTGGGATTTGGAAAATTACTGTGAACAGACATTTACGAATACAGTAAAGCCTTATTTAGAGTTAAGCCTTCTTATAAACTGGTGTTTCACCAAAGGAAAATTGACAATAAACATAATGGTTTAGGATCAACACAGTGAGTCACTGATTTTTGTCTTCTTTAACCTTCCCTAAATGACAGTGGTGGTGGTGTAAAGTATTGGGATCCTAAGTCTGCGTTTCAAATGCGGACTTTCTTGCCTCTGGTCTTAAGCTGTCCTCTGTAGTTTGTCAGTGTTAACTAGACACTCAGCCCACACTGGCTCCTGTGCTACTTTGTGGCCTTAAGGGGAATTACATGGAAAGGAAAATTTTGGTGGAGATCATTGTAAAGGGACTACGATGTTAGAGACCTGAAACATTCTGGAGTCTCGGGAGCTGACTGCTGGATTCTACATTCTAGACTAATTCTCTAAAGAGTAAAATATCCCATGTGTATCACTTGCAGAGAAATAACACACTTTCCCTTTTGTTCCACCAATTTCTACCCAGGGCCAGTGCGGTTTCCCCTGCCCCATTCCTGCAGTGAACTGGAATCAAACGGGCACTCAGCGTGTCCCCAGCTTTCAGTGTGGCTCTGCAGCTAGCGGATTTTCAGACGGACACCCACGAACTCCTACTCCCCCGGTGAGGGACTGCACGTTTTTACAATGAATTTATTGGGGGATCACCTGTATAAAAAAGTGTGTGTACGGGGGCTGGGTGTTAAATGGCTTCTACTGCCAAACAGAAAGGGCTATGCACCTCTCCTCCCAGTGCTTTCACACAATTCTTTTATGCTGCAGCTCCCCAGTGATGACATTCTGCAGTCCATCAACTTGAACAGAAAGCCCACTGTTTTAATTCATTAGCGATCTGCTGCTCACAGCTTTGCTTTCAGTGTTGACCCTTGACCTTAATGACAACACTGTGCTAACAGAAAACGTTGGCCATAGGCACATTCACTTTGCTCACAGCTGCAGAGCACAGAGAAGACATGGTGACAGGAGCCAAACACTACAGCAGGCACAAGCCATGATTTCTAAGGGTCATTTCACACTTTTAAGACAAATCTTCCCTACAGTGGTAGTTAGCGGGCAAAAGCTAAGCAATCCCATTTCATAATGGCACAAAGCCATGGAAATTGCACACAGCAAACCTCTTTAAATGAACGTTGGTGGGTCAATGGTTAAGCACTCGACCCTGGAGAGATTGAAGGTTAGAACCCACCAGTCATTCCGAGAAATAGATACCCTGACCATCTGCTCCCCTAGGGATTACAGCCTACGACGCCCACAGGGCCGGGTCTACTGTCATTTAGGGTTGCCATGAGTTGGCACACAATAACAAAAACTCCCTAAACAGGACTTTGTGAGAAAAGGAACACTTAGTATTGCATTTTCTCACCACAGTAAAAAAAAAAAAAAAAAAAAAAGCAAAACCATTTCAACCTATATGAGAGATCTGAACAGGAAAGAAGATGAGGCAATGCAGGACAGAGCAAAGACTTCTAGTTCTGTCAAAATAGCTGCCCAAAAGACGTTTTATTGGCCACCTGGCACTATTTTAAGTTTTTTTTAATATACATTATGTCATTTAAGGAATATCAACCTCATTAAATAGGGACCATCACTATTTCCATTTTGCAAGTACAGAAAGCAGGCAAGCTGAGGCAGATTATGCAACAGTCTCAGAGCCCCCGGGGGAGTGGGCCCCATCCTATACAACAGTCTCAGAGCCCCCAGGGCAGTGGGCCCCATCCTATACAACAGTCTCAGAGCCCCAAGGGGCAGTGGGCTCTGTCCTATACAACAGTCTCAGAGCCCCCGGGGGAGTGGGCCTCATCCTACTTAACAGTCTCAGAGCCCCCAGGGCAGTGGGCCCCATCCTATACAACAGTCTCAGGGCTCCCTCCCCCTTACCCCCTACCCCAGGGCAGTGGGCCCCATCCTATACAACAGTCTCAGGGCTCCCTCCCCCTTACCCCTACCCCAGGGCAGTGGGCCCCACCGGGCCTATGGGATTGCAGTGAGTCAGAACGGACATGATGGCAGGGAGTTTGGGTTTTCGGTTATTTAAAAACCCCACCTGTGTCGGGACAAAAACCTCAAAAAAACTTCAAAGATTTTAACAAATTTAACCAAGCATTTAAAGATCATTCAACTTCATGCAAACATCACCCAAGAGGACAACAAAACAAGAACACAAGCCGTAACTCATTCCGTGAAGCTAGTTAGTCCCATAAAGATGTACAGTCTTGGAAACCCAAAGAGGCAGCTCTACTTCTACTCTGTCCTATGAATTGCAATCGACACAATGGCAGCGAGATTGTCATTTGTTAGTTTTTAAGTTTATGAGGTTAGCGTAAACTTGAAACTAAAACATAGTGGGAGAAAAACTGCAAGCAAATTTCATTAATCTAGATAGGAAATCTTGAGCAAACTATTAGTAAACCAAATCCAGCAATAACTTCGTAACACAGTATGACCAAGTTGGATTTATGCGAGAAATTGCAGGTTGGTTTCACATTAGAAAATCAATAATGCGATTCAGTATGCATTAACAAATTACTGAGGGGAAAGCCATATGATCATAACACATGAAAAAAAGTGTGGTACAATTCAGTATCCATATTTCCAATCCAAACGGCAGCTCAGACACATTTGTTTCCCCAGAATGGACAATACTGCCTGCCCCTGGTGGTGCTAGA